GGAGGCACAACAGAGGACCTGCTAAAGGGGGCGTCACGGGTAGGGGTGGGACCCCGGGGCCCGCGAGGGTGGCAGTCTGAGCGGTGCAGGGATTTTGAGTTGAGTCATATCTAAAGCTGGAAAAATCCCTGTATGCCTTTGACCAAATCCTTTGTGGCCTCGGGAATTCTCCTCTCTGGTTTGGAATGCGGACTCAGTAGGGAACTACGGGGTGTTGGACTCGCGAACTCGGGGACTGGCAGCGCCAGCCCGCAGGGCAGTGTTAGGGCGCCAATCTGGCTCCCAGGCACTGTGCCCCTCACCTCCACCCTAGCATGGCCTTCTCTCCCAGCTTGGATCTAGTGTTCTAGAAAACATGCGCGGACCTCACAGAGCTCCGCTGAGCATTGGCTGGGCTGACTAAGTTGACAAACCTGAAGTAGGGGCTCAATGCAGCGTGCTGTTATTTGCAAGCTTAGTGTCTTAGAATTTGGAATTTTTGACCTAGAACCATAGGCCCTTCAGTGCCAAGTGAATCATCACTAACTGCATCCATCAAGCCTGAGGCTCACCTGATTCAGATAGGCTGTGTGGCCTTCGCAAAGCAAGTCTACCTCTCTGGGCCTGTTGTTTGATTGTTTTGGGTCAGCAACACTGAAGCTCTGAGCATGGAGCTTAGCATCTGATGGGCTTGGGGGCTTAGCATCCTCGCCTTAGAATCAAAGGCATCACATCCTGGCCTGAGACCCTTGCTTCAGTTCTAGAAGCTGACTATCAGAGAGAAATAAATTTTGGAAGCTGACTATTGACTTCACTCTCTGAGGTGTGAGGCTAAAACCAACATTCCTTTGACTTCATCTTCTAGGGGACTGTTTAATCAGTTCCAATGAGCAGGTATGATTTATTTTATAATATTTTTAGTTACTTTGTTAATCCCCATAAATGAAAGGAAAAATAATAATAATTAGCTTTGTGAGCTAATAATCCTCACAGAGGCCTCACTACTGTGATTGAGGGGGGTTTACTACCTCACCAGGAAGCTTTGCGGGTGCTAAAATATGCTCCAACTGCTCTACCCAGTGGCATGCTGGTTGCCCCTGAGACCTCAGTTTTCCTCCAGCCTAGATGGGAACCCGGAACCCACATTCCGGGGGCTGCTCCTACTCAGGTTCCCATAGCCTGGGCTCACCCAGCTTGCCTTCTGACCTTGCCCACTCTCCTCCCATCTCCGCTTATCTTTGTCTCCTTTCCAGCTTCTCATTTGGGGTGAGGAGGTTGTTGGACATTCCTGGTGACCTGCAGAAATGTGGCTCCCATGCCTCCTCCTCCAGAAAGCCTTCGGTGATCTCCCCCTCCCAAGCTTAAACTCACCCCCGACCTCCAGAGTCCCATGTCTTCTTATCTGAGCCCTCTGGTGACGGTGGGGCCAGTTTCCCATGCTGCCTCGTTACTGGACGCTAACACAAACTCGCCGGCGGTAGTACCTCAGGGAATGGAGTGTCCCTGGGATGAGGAACGAGGCCAGTTTGCTCCTTTCTCACTCACACATTGAGCTCAGAGCCACTGTGCTTTGGAGGCACCCGTTACCCCATTTCACGTAGACTCAGCGAGATAACACATATACCCCAAATCATATACCGCATTCCAAACCAGAGAGGAGAATTCCCGAGGCCACAAAGGATTTGGTCAAAGGCATACAGGGATTTTTCCAGCTTCAGATATGACTCAACTCACTGTAGCAAGACAGTGGTAGACCTGGAACTAAAATTTGGGTCTGCTGGCTGGCAGCACGCAAGCCTAAACCATCAAGTGTTTCTGCCCGGGCCGCCCAGTAGACTGGGAGCCCTCCCAACATGGCCCCCCCGCCTGCCCTGGTCTGTACTCAGCAGGGGCCTCACCAGTGCTCCTGGAGGAGGGACGCCAAATGAAGTGGACTGGGACTGCAGTCCCTGCTGTTCCCTGGAGGAGCAGTGTGACTGCAGGCAAGTCACGCACCCCTCCGGGCCCCAAGTTGCCCACCTGCAAAGGGGCCCAAGAAGGGCGTCCCTACCAGCCGGTGGGGGGGACGGTGGGGGGGACGTCGAGGACGTCACTCCTGCGGAGCTTCAGTGCGGCTCCTTCCCGCAGCAGCCTGGGCTCTGCACACAGTCTCACTCGACCACCCTGTTGTTACCGCCCTGCTCTGTATCCTCGCAGCGTTATGTTACCCTTCCTTTCAAAACTGCATGTCCGGCACCACTGGCAGCCTGGACTAATCCCGCTGTGCTAACTGCGAGCGTGCCCATTATCTGTGATGAAGAACAGCTCATCCTTTCCTGCCCCCACCCCTTGGCACCCATGTGGGCTTGGAAACTGGGTGGGATTAGAGCCCCCATCTTTGCGTGGAGGCTCCCTGGGGGCCCTCTGCAGCGGGCAGGTGGGTGGGGACTGGTGCTGACAAACACTGGGGCTTTCTGAGTCTGCCCGTTGGCAGGCGCAAGGTGCTGGGGGTGGAAGCCGACTCCAAGCACTGCCCCGCCGCAGGGCCTCCTCCTGGGAAGAGACGGTGCCCGAGGCCCGGCTCCTGATGGGTCTCACAAAAGGACTCTGTGCTCCCCAGAACAGACTCCGAGCCCTCGAGTCCGCTGGGGTCCCCTGCCCAGACCTTCTTACCTTCACATAGTCCCCGCCAGCCTCCGGCTCTCCAGCTGCCCTGGAAGGACAGAAGACAGGTGAGTGAGTGTGAACCCTGCCTGCTCCCAGCTGCCGGCCTCTGCCCCTCCCTGGTGCCAGCAGCTGGCCCTCAGGAGAGCTTATCCGAGAGGCAGGAGGGAGGCAACTGCCAGTACCTGCTGGGTCTTTGCTGAGCTGCCCCGGCCTCCTGCTGTGTGACCCTGGGCGCGCCTTCACCTGTCTCTGCATCCGGGTTGGGTTTCCTACCTGTAAACTGGTGACAGTGATGACGCCCTGCCTCACCGGCTGTGGAAGGGGGCTGATAAACACTGCTCTCCTCGAGTCTCCCTGCCTGCTCCAGCCGGGGGTGGGGCCCTCTCCTCCTGCCCTACACTCCCTCTCCAGCACAGGGACCCTCTCAGGGGCCGCCCACATGGAGACACTGCTGCTAGGTCGGTTGTTGCAGCAGGAATCCCTCTGCCTTCCGGGTACCGGGATGCAAGCCGGAGAGGCCCATGGCCGGAAGTGACTGCTTTCCAGGGTGCCTGTGAGTATCCTCCCTCATGCAGGCCACCTCCAGTCCCTTTCCCCAGCCTGGTCTCAGACAACATCCCTACTTGACCATAAGCGGGAATCATAAGCCCCTCGTCCCCCGTGGGCTGTCCTCGGGTCCTGAAGTCATCTCAAACTTGTCATACCCAAAGCAAGTGCCCTGCTGTCCGCCCGGCTTCCCACCCCGCTGATGCTAGTTCTACTCTTCAGGCTGCTTTGTTCAGCCCAAACCTGTGGTCACCCTGTCACCCATCCCCCAAAACCCGACTAATCCTGCAGCTACTTTCAAGTTAGACGCGCCCACTTCTCTCCCAGCCTTCCGACCTGCCTCCCTCGGACCTTCTGTCCCTCATCCTGCTCCAGTCTCACCGGCCTCCTCACCAAGCTCGTTCTTGACACAGGGCCTTTGCACTGGCGGTTCCCTCTGCCTGGCATGCTGTTCCCTCAGATCTTCACGAGCTTGCCCTCCCCCCACACTTGTTCAGCCTGACCTCTCTGGCCACTCCACCTAAAAGAGCCGCTAGCCCCTCTCTCTCTCTGTTCCCAACCTGCTTCTTTTCCTCACAGCACCTGAAAGGATGATGTGATGCCTGAGAGGGTCACTCGACCTGGATCTGTTGCCTGTGGCTTACCTGACCCTTCCCTAAGGGGTCTCGGCTCAGGGTCTAGCTGAGCCGGGCCCCCAGCACAGAGCCCGGCACAGACTGGGAGCTCAAGAAACATGTATTGATTAAAGGAACGCACATTTATTGACCTAAGGGCCAACCACTGTTAATCGCTGTCGCCCTCAGTTCTGTGGGGCTGGCCCTGGTTCTCGGACTAGGGCAGGCCTCAGCTTGCCCCCCGTAAACAGGAAGGTGAGGCATGTGTTCCAGGGCAGAACTACGCCTGCCCTGAGAAGCTGTCTGGCGGCCTCCGGTTCTGACATTCCAGAGGCTTGTCGCTAGCATCCCTCGTGCAAGTCCTTCCTGACCTCAGACGAGAGTCCCTTAGCTGTGGTACAGCAGGCCTCTAAGGCCGCTGGGCTCTCCATCGGGGGTGCGGGTGTGAGGTGGAGCAGAGCCCGGCCCACTCGCCGCCCCACCCGCTCTTGCTTGTCCCTCTTCCCGGGTGAGGTGTCCCATCCCAGCCCTTCCGGTCATTCAGGCCCGGAAATCCTCCCAGTGCTGGGAACAGGTTGGCCGGGACACTGGGATTGCCCCCCGCACTTCCTCCTGCTTCCTGCCCACTTCCCCTCGGCGGACCGGAGCAGAGCCTCGGGGCGGGGCACCAGGCAGGGTGGGTGGCCAATGCCAAGGGGGGTGCTCAGCACAGAGGCCCAGGCTCCTCCTCGGCTCCCCGCTTTTTCACAGCACCCCAGGGTTTCCAGGACAGCTGTGCCTGTGCACGGTCACTCCCTGCCCAGACTGTTGCCGGCCTCTCCCGGCCTCCCTGCCTCCAGGGCCTCCCTGCCTCCAGCGGTGGCACCGTGGCACCGTGACTTCTTCTCACTCCCAGCGCTGATGCAAAGAGCTGCCCTGCTAAAATTAAAGTCACTTTATGAAAATGAAAATCAAATCTTCCCCTTCCTCTGCTCTAACCCCCAGAGGGGGTTACTTCCAGTTTTACTTCCGCATCTCAGCCTTCCCGAATGTCCCTTCGCTGCTGCAACCCACCCTGGGCACGCGCCCTCCTCACCCGGGAGTTGGTCTCTGCCTCAGGCCCTGGGCACCTTGTCCTCTCTGCTGGAATACCCGCTCCTTCCCTCCCCTTCGCAGTGACCTTCCCCAGGGGCCTCCGGCTGTAGAACCCTCTAGGGCTCTTACCTCCCTTCCTGCTTGGTTTTTCTCTCACACACTATGCCTCTTTTTAAAATTACTTTTTTACTGAGGTAGTGCTGGTTTACATTGCGATTTGTGTTTGGGGAGCCGAGGACACTCCTTCAAGTGTTCCTGCCATGGTGCACCCCACCTACCACCAAGGCACCTGTGACCCACGCCTTCCACTGTGCTCCCTCCCTCTCCCCCTCCCCCCCTCTGGATTCCTCCGTTCTATAATCAAGGATTAGCTTTTAAGTTTGGCATTGTCTATTCCTTTCTTTACTTTCATTATATTCCACTTGCAAGTGACACCATCTGGTATTTGTCTTTCTCCTTCTGACATATCTCGCGCATCATAATCCCTCCCAGCTCGAGAGGTGAGTGGCCATTCTGGCTGCTGAGTAGTCGTCCAACGTGTGTAAGTTCCACGTCTTCTTGCTCTCATACCTACGCACTGACTATCTCTCCTCCCTAGACCGTCAGCTCCACAGGGCCGGGACTGAGATCTGCCTAAAAGCGTGCCGGGCAGTCAAAACATTTTTTTGAACGGTGAATGCCCTGCACCCGTGAGGACTACGTCTAGTCCTCATGGCTAAGCCTCTGGATCAGTCTTAGCTCCTTCCTGCACCTGACCTTCCCTTGCTTCTTCCAGAGAGCTCTGCTTCCTCTAGGCTCAGGGCCTTCGCACAGGACATTCCATTTCCATTTCCTAGTCTGCTCCTCTCCTTTAGGACGGGAGTCACTCCTATTCAGCTTTCAGATCTCAATGTGCTTGGAGATTTCTGGAAAGTTCGCCCCCCTCCCATTATAATTATCAAATCCAGGAATGAAAACCCCCATTTTTACAAACTCAACCTCATTAATTAATGAACTTATTCTTTATTTTATGGAAAGCATTTCCCCTCTAATACTTTTTAAATATTTTTTTGTGTGTGTGCACATACAAGAGTTAGGGTATAGGCCAGAGGTGGGGGGGGATGAGAGGACTCCCCAGAGACAGAGTGGGGAGCAGAACAGGAAGATCCACTGAAACACACTGCTGAGGGGAGCAGCAGGGAGACAGGAGAGGTCTGCTGTACCATTGGGGTCACCTCCCTGGCTGGGAATCAAACTCCTGGCGGGGGAGCTGCAGTGGCTGGCAACAGCTTAATAGTGCTGAGACTTAACCCCTTGTGCCACCAGAGAGGCCCTTCTCCTTTAATATTATTGATGACATCAATTAATAAATAATAGTAACAACTGCATGAAATCAGTTCCATTAATCAGCCACATTAATTATTTAAATAGCCAACCCCTTTAATTGCCTGTGGTAACTGATTTGTTCTGGTAACTGATACCACTGGTTGCATAAATTAGCTTAATTAATTGGATTAATGAACAGTAATTAGAGCCCATTATCCTTTATTTCCCCAAAGCCGGGTTAGGTCTCAGCTTCACCTTTAGGGCCTCTGGCCTGGCCCAGAAGGAAGGCACTGTGCAGGCCGGGCTGGGGGGGCTGCTGGCCTGGCCTGCCCTGGCACTCCTCCCCTGCAGCCTGGCCCCTGCCCTTCGGCCCTTTGCCATCTCCTGGTCTGGTCCCTTGGGCCTCAGGGCTGGTTATATGGCCCTGAGTGGGGCCTTCCCCAGCTCGGCCTCCCTTTCAGCTCCCCCCTGCCTTCCCCTGAGCCTTCCACTTCCCCATCTGGGAAGTGGGCCTATTATAACCGCCTGTCCAGAGGGGCCCTGTGGGGTCTGTGAGGAGGATGAATGCCGGGTTCCCATGCAGCTCCTTGCTGCCCACTCCCCACCCCTGGGATCAGCCATCCTGCCCCTCCTGGGGGCCTGGAGACTCCTTGCTCCCCTCTGCCTCCACTCATCCCCACAGGGGTCACAGATCAATAGCTCTTGTGCTCCCTGGAGGCCCCTGGCAGAGAGTTAGAAAGCCCCGACTCCCCAGGGACCCCACTGCACAGGGCCTTTGAGACCTCCTGTCAGGAAGGTCTTGGCTCAGCCTGTCCTGGAGACACTCAGCTCCTTCTCCGCCACCCTGCTCCCTCACTCTCTGGGCTGGGCTGAGCTCCAGGGACGGTGCTAACCTTGGGGGCAGAGTAGGGGTCATTCTTCCCAGGGCAGAGCCGGATTCTGAGTCTTGAGAGCTGTTAACTGAGACTGAGCTGTTAACTGCAGAGACTGGGGGTGGGGGCGTTTGTCGAGTGTGGCCGGGGCCCCCCTTCACAGGGGCAAGCGCTGGAACCATGCTTGACCTGGAACACAGCCCAGAGAGATCCAGGTGGGGTGGCAGGTATTCTGCTGGTTCCCCACATGAGTCAGGTTCCCTGGGAAAATGGGGTCTGCTCCTGGACGGAGAGGGGAGAAGCTGGGAAGAGCAGGATCAAGGGCAGGAGGAGCAAACAGTGGGGTGGACAGAGAGGACTCTTGGGGGCCCGGAGAGGGCTGTCAGCTGGAAGGGGTGCTGTGGGACCTGGGGCGCACCCCTCACAAGGACGTGGTGACGTGAGCAGCCCCTGAGCACTGCTGCCTCTGGGGGCCCAGGTGAATGTCTACCTGCTACGTCATATCCAACGAGGCAGGGCTGTTGTTGTCTCCAATTTACAGATGGGGAAACTGAGGCTCAGAGAGGGCGTGGGAGTTGCTCAGGGCGGCCCAGGTCAGTGGGCCTCTGAGCTGGTGATGTATCCAAAGCTTGACCTCCCTGGGCTTCACTGCTCATGGGTCCAGCAATCTCTGGACAGGGTCCCAGAAGGATTTGGGGGCTGACTCTAGCGCCCAGGAGGTAGCAGCAGCCAGAGAAGTTCCCACAGCCGGAGGCGTCCGGGGTCTCGAGGACTGTGAGAAAGTCTCCGCAGGAAATGAGAGTCAGGAGCAGCTGGGCCCCTTCGGAAGACAAGGATCAGCCGCCCAGCGCCTGCAGAGGCTGAACAGGCGAGCCCACCACGGCCCCCTCCCCAGTGGGTAATCGCTACCAGATGCCCAGCAGCTGACGTCACCCTGCGGGCCGAGAGAGGGTCGTGGGACTCTGGGGAGTGTTGGGAATTCTTGGACCAAAATCAACATTCCAAGAGGAAATGGGGGCGGGTGTCTCGGTCTGTTGTCAGTGCCTGGCCTGGACTGGTCAGGGCAGGAATAGCCCTGGCTCTCCCCTAGGGGTGCCTGTGCCAGGTCTCGGTTTCCTTTCGAAGACCCACCGTGGTCTGTCTCTTGGATGAGACACTTGGACCAGAACCGCATTCAGAGACACTTGGACCAGAACCGCATTCAGATTCTCCTCAAAGGAAGATTCTCAGACAAACGTAAGCCAAGGTAGGAGGTGCCCTCTGCTCCAGCTCACGGAGGACTTCCTTCTCCCTCAGGCAATGCCAGGTCCTCGCCCCCTGCCCGCCTGGCCTCCGGACCTCCCATCCTCTGGACCTCCCAGCCTCTGAAGCCATTTCCTTCCTGGTCTCTTCTCCCACTGGTCCTTCCTGCAACTGCGGTTCCATTCCACTTTGGCCCTCAGGTGGCCAGAGTGGTCCCCGAACGTGCAAAGAGGCTCCTGCCTTTCCCTCAGCCTAGAGAACAAGCAGCTTCGCTGCCTCGCCTGCTGCATTCAGAGAGCGTTCTGCTTTCCTGGCTAACCTTCTTAAGTTGCCACCACCGACCATCACCCGTCCCCCAGAACATTTCCCCCACTTGATTTAAACTTTTCTCTGTAGGGCCCTCCCTGGTGGTGCAAAGGAAGTTAAAGCGCCTCATTACCAAGCTGTCTGCAGCCAGGCGCTGCGCAGCGAGAGTTTGATCCCCGGCCTGGGAGCGGACCCACAGGGTGCAGCAGACCTCTCCTGTCTCCCCGCTGTTCGCTCAGCGGTGTGTTTCAGTCCATCTGCCTGCTCTGCTCCCCACAGTCTCTGGTGAGTCCGCTCACACCTGTACCTCTGGCCTTTCCATATGCCTATTATGTAGGCATAAACAAATAAATCTTAAAAATAAAGAGCCATCGTCTACCTTGTTAACCACTGGCCTCCTCTCCCCTCTCCCCCCCAGAATGGGGGCTCCATGAGGGCAGGATTTTGTCTGCTGCACTCCGTGCTATCTCCCAGGACCTAGAACAGTGTCTCGGGCAGAGACAGTAAACACTGAAATTAATGAAATCCCAACTCCGCTATCGGTGGTCCTGAGCAAGTTACTAACCTCACACACATCTCCACAAAGTGAAGTGTGTCCTCTGTAGAGTGGGCGCCTAGGAAGTCAATGAAATGATGGTAGAAGCAGCTTTGAGACTGTGGGGGTGAAGAGCCTGGCTGGCTGGGCAGCGCTTGGGCTTAAGGGTTGGTCTGTGACCCCAGGAAAGTCCCTCGCCCTCTTTGACCCTGTCCCGTGGTGGTAAAGTGCAGTCTCCCACCACACGGACACCCACTGGGTGCGCCAGGTGGCCCTGCTGGCTGTCTCCGCCACCTTCTCTGTAACGTAGGCTGAGGGCAGGAGGGCAGGACTCAGACCCCCTACTTCCTTCCGGAAGGCTGAGGGTGTTGAGCAGGGAGGGAAACTGTGGGAGCTAAAGGCCCCTCATTCCACTGCACCGCCCTGCCTCCCTCCTTCCTCCCCCTCCCCCATGAGCTCAGCTGGGAACAGGGCACCAGGAAACTCCTGCAGCCTCACCTCCTCCCCTTCCTTCCTTCTGCTCCAGGTGCACAGTGCCTCCCAAGGGAGAGGGGAGGGACATCGTCTCCCCCAGCTTAGGCGGCTCCCTGGACACTGGGGTGACCCCCTAGGAATGGGGCCCAGTGACAGGTCTCAGAGGCCCTTCTCCCCAGGATGATCCTCAAAGACCAGCCCAGGCCATCGGGGCTGCTGGGGAGATGGAGGCCCAGAGAAGGGCAGGCAAGCCTCCGATCACCCAAGCAGAGTCTTCCTGACTCAGGGGCACAGGGCTGAGCTTCAGGGACTCCTAAAAGCTGTGCTCAATAACCCCTGGCCTCCCATGCAGCCCAAGGGGCACCAGTATTGGGGCTCCAGGAGATTCACTCTGTCCTGATAAGCCTGCTCCCTCAGGGCCCCCACGCCACAAGAGGTAGGGGACAGGCAGTCTCTGTTTCCTTCATCAAGTCCGGGCCAGGCCTGACAACAAGAGCACTACCAGCCCTAGCCGGGTGTCTGTCCACGGGGCAAAAGGCTAGGGCTCCCCCTATTCTCAAGCGTTTTCACGATCATCCTCAGAGGCCCCAGCCATGCTGAGCAGGAACGGGCAGCCAGGTCAGCAAGGGGGAAGAATCTTGGACTCTGACTTCACCAATGTGTCAAACCAGCCAAAAACCTCTTCCCTCTTCTGTAAAATGGGGTAACAATAGCGCCTCTCTCCTGTGGCCCTGAGGGGTGGATGTCCAGACTTCTGGGCTAAGGGGCGGGGACAGTTAGACCAAAGAGTTTCAAAGTCTCGAGGTTAAATCTGCAGAAGTTTGTCAATTGTTCCCGGGGCACAGATTTCACGCTCCAGTTCCCGCCGTCCCTCCCTAGGCCCAGCTCGGTTACTCACCCTCTGGGTCCCAGTGCGGGGCATCTTCGGCCCACTGCAGTCATGGTTCCCCACGGACGCCCCTACAGCCCGGGACCTCGGCAATCAGACCGCTCCAGCCGTTTCCAGCCCACTGAGCTGCGGCGCTCAAGGCTGGCCTCGGGGGCGGAGCCTTCCCCCATAGGCCACGCCCCTGCCACGCCCACCATTCACTGGGTGATGCCCCGCCTTCTACCCCTCCCACCGGCTTGACACGCCCTGCCTCGGACACGCCCCTCCGTTCCAGTCTCGCTCGCCCCTCCGGCATCTGCCAGTGTGCGCGGCCGGAAGACCACGCCCCCAGCGCGTCCCTCCGCCTCGCCCCGCCCCGCTCCAACGCCCGCTGGCCGGACAGCCCGCCGCGCTGCCCGGGGAAGGCCACGCCCCCAGGCCCGGCCCTCCGCCCCGCCCCGCCCGGCCCCCGTGAAGTCCCAGCGCCGGTCTCAGACCTGGGGCTCTCCCACCGCCCCGGCGCGAGCGGGGCGCACAGTCCTAGCCCCTCGGTGTCCGGGTGAGGTCGACTTTAGGAGAGAACGGCAGGAGAAGACGGCCGACGGCCACCAGGGATGGTGGAAAGCCACTCGCTTTATTAATCACAATGAAGGTAAGGACCCTGTTTACTGAGTGTGTGGTGTGCCAGGCACTGCGCCAAGGTTTCATAGGTGTCACCACCACGAGGTATGGGCTGTCGCTGTGCTTAGTTACCAGAGGAGGAAACAGAACTGAAGGGAACAGAGAAGGGGACAGGCACGTCCAAGGTCGGGGAGCCAGGAACAAGCTGGCTTGGGTGCTCCAGCTCCCCGGGGAGCTCTGGACCCCGCCACCTCAGCACACAGCTGGCCGTGACTCAGGGCAGAGCCACTCCTGAGGGCCAGCCAGCCTGCTCGAAGTCTTTGGCCGCTGGGGTTCTCTCCATTTCGGTAGGCACAGGTGGCCCGCACAGTGCAGACGACTGTGCCTTAAAGGTCAGGGCCTCCTTTGGGGCTCAGGGGTCCCAAGGCCTTCGAAGATGGTGGGAATACTTGATGGCTGAACGTTGAGCTACTGAACTCAGTCAGGTACCACTGAGTCTCATCTGGGGGCCAATCAGAGCCTTTTACAGTGTGCTCGAGGAGTGACATTTATTTTGACATGGAGTAAAATGGGTGCTGGTAAGTGGGAGCTGTGGTTGTGCTGATCAGACTCTGCATGTGTTTTCACCTGACTTCAGCTCCTTAGCTGACAAATGGTTTGCGAGACCAGGTGGGCGCGGCGTTGGCCAGCACATTAAAGGTGGTTATGACTCAGACCCCACAAGCAGATGGAGGCTGCCTGGGACTTTGGGGTCTGGTGGACCTCAGTATAAATCCCAGCTTTGTCACCTGCTAGCTGAGCACCCTGACTGGTATAGAGGACTTTCCTTCTCTGAATCTGTTTCTTCTGTCACATGGAAATAATAACAGTATCTCCTCATCAGTTGTCTTTTTTTTTTCTTCATTTCATTACAAATGAAGAACTAAGCACTTAAATTTAATATATAAGTATTTCTTTTTTCTTACCCTGACGTGAGCATTGGCAGGGGGAGGGGGTCTTGGGACTTTGCTGGTAGGAGGCTAGCACCTTCCCTCACACAGTTCTCCGCCCCACCCCCCGACCCCCGGACACCTACCTTCCCGGGGGCACAGTCCCAGGGGCTGGCTCCTCTTCTGTGTCTGCCCTGGGGTCCTCATGCTTTCTCGTTGGACTCGCCACTACCGCTGGAGGGTTGGATTCACCTGCTGGGGTGTCCTCCAGGAGGGCTTTGGCCTCGACTACCACCTCCTCGGCTGCCTCCAAGTCTGGGGGGTCAGGCTGGTCAGGCTGAGCTTGAGACACCAGATGGGGCCCAGCGTCCACCTCCCGAGCCTCCCGAATGGCCTGCCGGTCCCGAGTCTTCTTGGTGCTGGGGCGAGGCATGGTGCCCATGTGACTGTACATGTCGCTGGAGCGGGCATAGGCCTGGGGGCTCTTAGGGACGGTCACCATGTCATCCTGTGTGGTGTCAAAGTTTTCAGGCTCCAGATAGGACCGGATACTGATGTTGTTTGAGGGCCGTTTCAGAGTGAAGGATCGAGAGAGATTGGAGAGACTCCCAAAGCCCATGAATTTGAAGAACTCTGGTGTTGGAGGGGAAGAAGGTTAATGACAAGGGCCAGCAGCAGCAGTAGTACAACTTTGTGCGGTGCTACTCACTGAGGTTGACCTAGGAAGGTCAGGGCTTCCCTGACACCCCTCTAAATGTGAAGGTATAACGTGGCAGCCCTGGGCTCGAAGCCCTGCTCTTCCACATCCTAGCCGTGTGATCTTAGGCAAGTTACTTGGCTTCTGGGAGCCTCATTCACCACCTTAGTAAAACAGAGCTTATAGAATAGAAGAAGATAGAGGTTCCGTCCACCTCCTGTGGACACGGGGAGGCCTGAAAAGCATGCGGCTAACATGCTTAACATGAAGGACACCAGAAGGTCTTAGTTCGAAGTAAAGGAGATGATGATGAACAGAATGCAGTCCCTGCACTGGCAAACGGGTGTCACCTCAGCAAAGTCTCAGCACGGCAAAGACACTAGTTTAATCCCCCAATTTCCAGCTGAGGTAGTGAGGTTCGGAGCAGTAACAGCACCTACAGCAGGAATGAGACGTGCATGTGTGTCTGTGACACACAGGTGTGCTAGGGCAGGAGAGGGTATCTGAGCACCTGGGCTGAGGGTGAAGTGAGAAGGGGCTTGTGGGGAGTCTGAGGTCCCCGCTCCGCATCGTGGTCTCCTTCCTGTCAACGTGCTCACTGATGCTATCTCCTCGCTTCCGTGGGGGTGTGTCTGTGTGTGTGAGCGCCCTTCTTCTCACCCTGCTTTTGGGACTGTCCCTCTGTAGTCACCACGGACCAGACTTCCTACAGTGTCCAGATGAGCGAAAGGAAAAACCCTGGCATTTCCCACATGCACAGCACTCTCTGCTCCCCCGCCCACCACCACCACGTCGGAATGTAGGTTGAGAGGAAATTGAGGCTCAGAGAGGGAAGGAACTTGCTCTGCATCACACAGCAAGGCTGAGCCTGGTTCTGGACTGCTTGCTGGGTGAGCGTTCGGGGGCTATCCCCCGGCCCTGTGCACCCCCCTCTTGTCTTAGTCTCTGCTCCCCGACAGACATTACAGAAAACACAGCTAAGCCTCGGGCAGAAACTGTGCTAAAGGCCAAAGGGGGCCTCCCTGGTGGCGCAGCGGGTTAGAGCACAGCCCTGAGGAGCTAAGGCCACTTCAGCAGAGTTCGGTCCCGCCTGCCCCAGAGGTGACCCACATGGCGCGGCAGACCCCTCCTGACCCGCCCGCTGCTCCCCTCAGCAGTGTACTTCGTCCATCTGCCTGTTCTGCTCCCCACTCTGTCCCTGGTGAAGCCTCTCACCAGAGGTGCCCCTGCGCCTCTGGCCTGTGGCCCAGCTCTGTGAATCTTTAAAGGCCGAAGGGAAGAGTGGGACAGTCGCCGTCTCAGCAGCGCTTGTTTTGATCTCGCGATAACAGTAACAGGGCAGAGTGGGAAACTGAGGCTCAGAGTCCAAGGACACGGGTTGAGCCTGTCTGGCCTCAGTCTGCTCCCCTGGGGAAGGCAGTCACAGCCCCCCTCTATGCTCAGCCTTCCTCCACCGTGTGCTGCCCGAGCAGGGGAGGACGCTGCCTGGGCTGGCCCAGGGAAACAGCAGTGGGCGGGTGTCC